GGTTGGAAAAAGATATATCAAGCAAATGGCAACAGTAAGAGGGCAGGACTGGCAATATTAATTTCTGATCAAATTGACTTTAAGACAAAAACCACCATACAAGACAAGGAAGGACATTATATAATGATTAAAGGATCAATTGAACATGAAGATATAACCATAATAAATATCTATGGACCCATTTTGTAAGAGAAGAAATAAAAATTGAAATTGAAAAATTCCTTGAATCAAACGCGAATGAAAACACAACTTACCAAAATCTTTGGGACACAACAAAAGCAGTGATTAGAGGCCAATTTATAGCGATAACTGCGCACATCAAAAAAGAAGAAAGAGCCAAAATCAACACTTTAAACCAACATCTCCAACAATTAGAAAAGGAATAACAAGAAAAGCCTACAGTCACCAGAAAAAAGGAAATAATAAAGATTCAAGCAGAAATCAGTGAAACAGAAAATTGAAGGCAATAGAAAAAATCAACAAGACCAGAAGTTGGTTTTTTGAAAAGATCAGTAAAATTGACAAACCACTGGCAAATCTAACAAAGGTAAAGAGGGAGAGAACACAAATAACACGAATAAGAAATGAAATGGGTGACATCACACAGAACCAACTGCAATAAAAACGATAATATTTTTAGATTGTCAATTTTATTTCTCTGGTCTATATGTCTATCCTTATACCAGTACCACAATGTTTTTATTACTGTAGTAAGTTTTGAAATTGGGAAGTGCAAGTCTTCCAACCTTCCCCCTCTTTCTCCCAAGATTGCTTTGGCTATTATAGGGTTCCTTGAATTTCTAAATAAATTTTAGGATCTATTTGTCAATTTCTCTAAAAAAGTTAACTGAGATTTTTATAGGATTGCACCGAATGTATATCAATTTGAGGAGTATTGCCATCTTAACAGTATTAAGTCTTTTGAACTATAAACATGGAATGCTTTTCCATTTATTTAGATCTTTAATTTCTTTCAACAGTGATTTATATTTTCAGGATATAAATTTTACACTTATCTTTATCCCTAATTATTTAATTGTTTTTATGCTATTTTGAATGAAATTATTTCATTAATTTCATTTTTGGTTTATTTATTGCAAAGAGGGGTTGCTATGGGCCAGATCTGACACAATGGCAGTGAGTTTGTTTTTTTGGTACAGAAATACAATTAAGTTTTATGTATTAATCTTGTATCCTGCAAACTTGCTGAGCTCATTTTTAATTCTAGTAGTTTTTTGTTTGTTTGTTTGAATGGATTCTTTCTTCTTCTTCCCATGGAGCAGCTGGGGGGTTTGAAATGCCAATGTTCTGGTTAGCAGCCAAATGCCATTATGCTCTGTGCCATCAGCTTTCCTTATATGTAGGATTTGTCCTAAAGGGTCACTATGAGTCAGAATCGACTTGATGACAATGAGTTGGTTTTATATGTAGGATTAAGGAGCCTTCCAGATGCAGTTGTTAAGCACTCAGCTAACCAAAAGGTTGGCAGTTTGAACCCACCAGCTGCTCCGTGGGAGAAAGACATGGCAATCTACTTCCTTAAAGATTCATAGCCTTGGATACCCTACGGGGCAGTTCTACTTTGTCCTATAAGGTTACTATGAGTTAGAATCAACGGCAGTGGGTTTGGATTTTATGTGTAAGATTATGCTATTCGCAAATAGAGATTGTTTTACTTCTTCCTTTCCAGTATGGATGCCTTTTTATTTCACTTTCTTGTCAATTTCCCTGGCTACCATCAGTACTATTTTGAATATAAGAGGCAAGAGCAGACATCTTTGTCTTGTTTTGACCTTAGCAAGAAAGTGTTCAGTCTTTCACCATTAAGTATGTTGTTAGCTGTTGTTTTTCTGTAGCTATCCTTTATAAGGTTGAAGAAGTTGCCATGTATTCCTAGTTTATAGAGTGTTTTCATCATGAAAGGGTGTTGAGTTTTGTCAAAAGCTTTTTTCTGTGCCCATTGAGATGATCCTGTGGTTTTTGTCTTTTATTTTGAGTTTTCTCCAACTCACAGTGACCTCTCATTGGGTTTCCGAAGTGGTATCACTACAGAAGTAGATTGCCCAATCTTCCTTCTGAGGAGTGGTTGGTGGGTTTGAACTACCAGCCTTCTGGTTAGCAGTCAAATGCTTTAGGCACTGCACTACCAGAGCTCCTATTCTATTAGTATGGCATATTATTTTTACCTTTAAATTCAGCCTCCCATTTGCCTGTAATCCTGGAGAAACCCATAAATGATGTATGGGATAGATATGATATAAGGCTTAGAAGTTGACAGTAGTCTTCTATGAAATTTTCAGTTTTCAGAACTACCTTTGTACCTCGTCAAAATTCCTGGTGATGGCTATCTAGAATTTTTTTGTTTGGTGTTGTTTAATGATATGAATATGAAACAAAATTTTATATGTGTCTATGTAACCCAGCTGTATAAGTTCATGACATTATTTTGATAGTATATACGATAGAGTTATATATTACAGGCACAATTTTTGGAGGTGAAAAATTTAAACTGTCATTTACATGCGTTTTAGAGATGATAATCCCTTTCAAGTAGAATAAAGTATACAGCTAGTATTGTTGACAGTTGTAATAATTACCAATATATTTTGTTTTGGGAAATTTGTAGATATCCAAACTCTTCCCCAAGTTCTTTAACGTGCTATAATTTGTTTCATATTACATATTTTTGACATGTCCCTATTCTATGTGCATGTTCGCATTAATTGCAGTTTCCTTCTCTAGGACACATTTTTCTTTTCCATGTGGGTTCCTTCATTTGATTATATTGTCATTTGGTTGCATATATCATGCATTGATGATGTATCTGCTAATTAATTTTTCTTCTTTGAGTGCCTGCCCTTTTTGTTCTTGATTCTGCAGTTCAACCCTATTTTTAATTTCAGCTCTCTTTATTGGTATTTCTTTCTAGCTTTTATTGGCTTGTGACCTTCTGTAACTGGTTTGTAATATTTATATGTTTATGAAATTGATAGTCCATCTTCTGCCATCAGTGGTAATTAATATTTAAATGCTTCTTTAAAATGGTTTAGAAAGTAATTATTACTTGTGGTTCATATATTAGTGTGAATTTCGAAAGCCAAAGTAGCTTTCGAAATTCATAGCAAGATCTTGGATTATGAAAGTGTGTCACAGGTATATATAAAGTTTTTAAAAGAGAATGTAATACCTATTTCTTAATCCTTAGGATTTTTTTTCCTTAGGTTCTTTTATGTTGATTAACTTTCCTTTTATTTTAGATAGTGAAGAGTTCCTGTTGGAAGGTTTACGCAATGAGAACCTCAGTGCTGGTGCAAGAGACCACAGAGACCACATTCTACGGGGCTTTCAGCAACTCAAAGCGAGGTTTGTAGAAACTGGTCCATTATTATTCTTCATACGCTTTAAAACAGTTTATAATCAGTAAAATCTACTCTAATAGTATGTTGTTGTTGTTGTCGTTGTTATGTGCTGTAGAGTCGGACCCATAGTGACCCTTCCTTGGGTTTCCGAGGCGGTATCACTATGGAAATAGATTGCCCCATCTTCCCTTGGAGGAGTGGCTGGTGGGTTTGAACTGCCAGCCTTCTGGTTAGCAGTCAAGTGCCTTAGGCACTACGCTACCAGAGCTCCTACTCTAATAGTATATAAATTAACAAAGTAAAACATAAGTGTCATAGTTCTTCATACTTAATAGAAGCTTGTTGTTCTTAGGTGCTGTCAAATTGCTTCAGACGCATAGCAACCCCATGTGGAACAGAACAGAACACTACCTGGTCCTGTACCATCCTCATAGTTGTTGCTGTGCCTAAGCCCATCGTTGCAACCACTGTGTGTCTGTCTTGTTGAGGGTCTTCTGCATTTTTGCTTACCCTGTATCTTACCAAGCTTTATACATTTCTCCAGGGCCTTGTCTCTTCTGATAACATGATCAAAGTATGAGAGACAAAGCCTGGCTGTTCTGATTTCTAAGGAACATTCTGCCTGTTAGAAGATTTGTTCATTCTTCTGACGGTTCATACTTTATTCAGTATTCTTTGCCAGCACCACAGTTAAAATGCATCATTTCTTCTGTGGTTTTCCTTATTCACTGTTCAGCTCTCCTTTGCATATAAGGCTATTGAAAATACCATGGCTTGGGTCAGGTGCACCTTAATCCTCAAGGTGACATTTTTGCTTTTGAACACTTTCAAGAAGCTTGTTGTTGTTGTTATGTGCCGTCGAGTTGGACCCGATTCATAGCAACCCCTCCTTGGGTTTCTGAGGCTGTATCACTATGGAAGTAGATTGCCCAGTCTTCCTTCCGAGGAGTGACTGGTGGGTTTGAACTGCCAGCCTTCTGGTTAGCAGTCAAGTGCCTTAGGCCCTATGCTACCAGAGCTTGTTGTTGTTGTTGTTGTTATGTGCCGTCGAGTCGGCTACCAGAGCTTAGATTTACTGAATTGGAGGCCAATATAGACAGTTAGTTTATCAAAATAAAAATATTTTGATATGTCTCTTATTTTTAGCTTTGGATTTTTATGTTGGCATTTATTGAATATTTTTATATTTAGAAAATGATGAAAGCTAAACATATATGTTTGCTCAAATTACTAAAGAGAAAGTGTTAGTTGTATGAGATGTTCAATTTTTATTTGGATTTTGGTCCTGATTTTATTTCCACATCTCCTTTAATAGGAAACTTAAACAATAACTTAACCAGTTGAATTTTTTACCATATTGGCATGTTTTATTCTCAGAATGGAATATAATATCATGTGCATTAAGTTTATATATATGCATGTGTATGTATATGAAACCGTGACCTAATTTGTACATTTTACAATGTGAGCATCTGATAGGTGCATACACTTGCTTGGGAGAGGAAGGGATAAAAATCTTACCTCACAGTGTATTTCCTGACCACCTCTTGCTTGAAATGTGGGAGCTAAACAAGATTTAGCCATAAGTGATTGTTACTTTAACCTTTTTTAACCTAGCAGCAATATGGTTCAGAATGTTTGAACTGAGTGTTTTCAGAAAAGGGAGTGCGTTTTGCAGGGTTATGACTCGGATTTAATTTGCATGGCTGATTGTTCTTAGCCTCTACTTAAAAAACTCACCGAAGCTCCTTAGAAGCTTGAAATTTTATCCTTTGGAAGGGCACAGCCAGAATTTATTCCCTCTAGGAATGTGAGAGAACCTCACAAGATGCCCTGCTGGATCTTAATCGATCTTTCCTGCTGGCTAATTAAGCATCACTTTTACTCTGCAACTGGGGACTGTGTAATTATCAGCCTGGGTTGTCCTGAATAATTGAAACAAACAGAATATAGAAAATGGGGACTTTTTGCAAAAATGGAAATATCTATAATTTTTGGTAGGCTGGAAGAGTGTTTAAAATACACTTCTCCATAATGTGTTACTTTATTAGTAGTTAAGTTTAGGCTTACTGTGTTCTTAAGGGCTTAGTTATTAACTTACAGAATTTTTTGTTTTATCTTTGCATGATAGGGTTATTATAAGGATAGCATGAGGGTAAAGGTGGAATTATTTTAGATTTTGTTACAGGGAGAGGAATGCCTTAAATATAATTGTGTATATGGTGGTTTGGTATAATTGTTCCTGAGATAAGAAATGCAAAATTTTCTTTTACTGCATCAGTTGGGACAAATATACAATGAGGAAGAATTCTTTCCCATATTTGTACCATAGCAGTGAGAAGGGGCTACATTTCAATCTTACATAGGTAATAAAAGAATTTATGGTGATTAATTACTGTTAGTTGCATATCACTTCTTAGTCTTCTTTTTGAATGCACAGATATACACAAGTACACTGGAACTGTATTTGGTATGGGGTAGAGAAAGTTCCTTGTTTTCAGAGAACTTGCTGTGTGGTTTGTGAGGTAGACATTCAGGAAATTATTAGCAGGAGCTTTAGGAAACATCTGCATTGTTGATGGGAGCTTTCTGTTCATTGATTTGTTTCAAGAAAGATGACACTTTATTTAGAATTTCACAATTATCAGATCACTGAGGAAACGAGGAGCCAGAAATTAGATACTGTACAAGAAAAGGGAAAAATGAGACTTTCTTTTAGCAAGCTGTTTGAAATTGCCTTACATCCACCCATTCAATCATCATGCCATTAATGTAACCCTTCTTTTATAGAATCTTTATCTTCAGCCATATCACCTCTGTAGTCCCATTTATGGTTAGCCAGCATGATGCACTTGGGTTTATGCGTATTGGTACTAATTGGTTTGAAAGTACTGAAAGCTAGCAAAATGCTAGCCACATTTACTTTTGTTGCGTGTCATTTGTATCTCTCCTAAAAAGCTGAGTGTGAAAATAAAATTGATAGTCATCAAATTTGAGAGTGTATGACAAATTGGCAAGTAACATGAAAAAAATTATTGGAAGTGATTCAAATTTTGTATCTTTAGTCATATTAAAGCAATAGTATTTGCTAATTAGTTGGTAGATTTTTTTTTGGATAAGAACCTATCTGAAACTATAATTTGGTACTTCAGTGTTTGTTTGGAAGAAATCTCAAGGAAGATAATCTGGGAAAGCCACTAGATAAGTAAAAATGTAATATTTTTGTACAACTTTCTACTTCTATTTTTGTCGTTTCCCTGTCTTTATTCTTTTATTTCGTTCCTCAGCATAGTGCTACTCGATAATGAAAAGGGTAGAGAGAAGTAAAGATAACACTGAGCCTGATTCTTGATAAACTGTAGGGGCTTGGCCCTAATTTTTATGGCTGGCTTGGAAAAAAATAGTATTCTCTACAGTTGTGAGCTTGCTGTTAATGAGTTCATATGACTCCATCATAACCATTACAATGTGCTATCTGCCACCTTTCTGTTGCTTAGAGTGACTGACCGCAGGAAATGATAGTTGTGTCAAGAGTCATGAGTGTCCTCCAAATGTGCATCTGTTTTTCAGCTCAAGTAGTTTAGATATTCTCTCTCTTTCCAGATTTAAAGATAAAAAAAATAAATAAATAAAATAAAGTCGTATCTATATTTATATTCTAGTTTTTTGGCTTGAAAATGTTATCAATGGAGGATAATGTTTTCCATGTAAGGCAAAATAACACTCATGGCAGTTTCTGTGATTCCAAGGAAATGAAACTGTGTCGCAATGTTTGATGTTCTGAGCTGTGATTTTCATTGCTGTTCTTCAAACTGCCTTCTTGTTTAAACTTTCTTCCTAAAAACTAATGTCTTTCACATTCTGAGTCCAAGTTTTTGTTCACCTCTTTAGAGAATGGTTAGGATGAAAGCCAGGCAAAGGCTCCTCCTGCTTTATTACATTGGTCACTGCAGGATTAACACCAGATGTTAGACACCTGGAATGAGGCAGACATGATCTACACTCAGAAGCTTGATGACATTCTTATGCATTTGGAGAAACAGTAGAGCATTTCTTAAATGTTTGATTCAGTGGAGGCAATCTGACAGCAAGAATACATTGAGAATAGGGGGAGGGATGAAAAAAATAGAATATTTTTATTACTGTGGTAGGGATAATTCTCTCTTGATGGCCCTTTTTGGAACAACTAGTCATTTATTCTCACTGTTGGAAGTGAAGACCATAGCCAATGGAAACAAACTTGGAGTATTGTTTCCTTCTGTGAAACTTAATAATACTAAAGGAGTTCCAAGAAAAGACAGGTAGATTTATAGCATATTGAAATGGAGAGCAATAAAGAAATAACTTTATGTAACAGGGTTACGGCATAAAACCCACAAAACTCAGGACATTTAAAGTGTGGGCTGAAATAGTATCTTAAACATGTCTCATTGTGGGTTGCTAGTGTATGGTCATGGATGAAACATGATACACTAGTATAAATCTCATAAAAATAATTGAGGCTTTCTTTGGGAACTTCATGTTTTTCTCTTCATCTTAACATTGCTGTAACTTTAAAACAGGATTTAGCTTAACACTATATAATTCTGATGTCTTTGTATTATACGAAGAGAGACAAGTTAGTTTAATAAAACTCTTGGGAGTGAACGTTTTAAAGTGGTATACTGTAAATATTACTACCATTAATTATGTAGTTTTTTCTGCTGCTGTTGTTGTTGTTGTTAGGTGCTGTCAAGTCAGCTCTGACTCATGGCAACATATGTGCACCAGACTCATATGTACAACAGAATGAAATACTGCCAGGTCCAGCACTATCCTCACAGCCTTTGCTATGCTTGGGCCCATTGTGGCAGCCACTGTGTCAGGCTAGCTCATTGAAGGTATTCCCTCCCCTTTTTCACTGACCCTCTACTTTCTCACTGCCATTGACTCATAGCAACCTCTCCTTGGGTTTCCAAGGTGATATCTCTACGGAAGTAGATTGCCCAGTCTTCCTTCCAAGGA